GACTCACAGTGATTCTCCTGTTTTCAGCCTCCCAAGTGCTGAGATTACAGGTATGTGCCACCAGGCATGCCCAGTCTCAATTGCTGTCTCAAGGGCTGGCCAAATTACTCAGCGGATTAAAGGGCCAGGAGTTCAATCCCCAGGCCTGCTGTGCTGGCCCCATCCCTGGGGCGAGGAAAGATGGCAATTGAGACTGGGTATGGTGGCGAACGCCTGCAATCCTAGGTCTTGGGAAGCTATAAACAGGTGGATCACTAAGAGTCCGATCTAGTAGTGAGACAATGAATACCCTGTAGACCCTTCCCTAAAATACAAAAAAAATTAAAAAATAAAAATCGCTGTCTCAGCACACCTCAGGGGCAGGGCCAGCACATAAATTTATCTTACTTATTCATTTCTCCAATCAGAATGAAGATTTCATAAGAGCCTGAATTCTGTCTCAGTACTGGTTTTCCAAGTGCTTATGACGTTATAGCAAGGGTGATCAGTTAATATTAGTAGAATCAATTAAGTGGTATAGCCAGGATTATTCCGTTGCAGACTGATGCTAGGACCTACCCTTGGAACCATGACATTATCTTGCTAAACTGAATAAAGAAATACATGAGTATCCACCTTCACACCTAGGATTCTTTGTGGCAACTCCCATAATCTCTCTTTTAGGAACCAAAAGCCTCACACTCTTAGTAGAGAGGAAACAGGAATCAAGAAAGGAGATCCTTGGATCATTAAGGGAGAATAGAGAATGAGGGAATCCAGAGGTTGTCAGGTCATTTAAGTTCTTCTGGCTGAGGGCCACTAGTCCTATTTTAACCAACCACCTGTCCACTTGTGTCTCTGCTAGCCAAGTCACAAGTTGCAGGGAACCTCAGCCCTCTGAACAGCCTCCTTATCCTGGTACCCAGGACAAGACAGAGAACACCAGAAAGCCCCAAGGTGACAGGACATAGAGAAAGTCAAAGTGAAGTAAGGGCTATGCAAGGTAAAGAAGGGCCAAGGATATCACCACTTCAGCCTTCTAGTTTTGCTTCTCCACGTATCCTCTAAAGGTTATTTTTTAATACTCAGATCTCTCCACACAAAGCCAGACTCATCCTTTTTCATTCTAAGTTACAGACACTCTTCACTCTTTGCCTAGATCCCAAATAATATTAGACACTGGCTCCCCTTTGCAAGGCACTTTCTCCCCCTTAGCCCAAGGCATCTTGCCTTCTGTTCTCCCTGGCCCATGATGGGGGTTGCAATGAGGACTGAAACAGCTCGGGTGTCATGCCCTGCTATCTCGGGTTGCATATGCTGGGCATGTAGGGAATGCTCCAAGCATCTGCCAGAAAGGGAGTGGGGGAGGAAAACACACTGGAAGGGAAGAGAGGACAAAAGGCTGTGGGGTCAGTGGTGCCAAAGGAGAGCAATTCTGGAAGTCATCAATCTTCCAATAGATGGAATGGAATACTACTCTTTACATCCAGAAAACTCACGTACTAAGGGAGAAGGGGGATTTTCTGAACAAGGTCAGACAGAGAAGGCAGCAACCAACACAAAGTAAAAGCCAAAAAAGCTCACATCACATTCATCTCTGCCTCTCTGACCCCAAATTCTTGGCTCCTAGCTTTCCTATCTCAGGGAAATAGCTCTGCCCACAACCACCACCACCCAGAACAGTCCTCATCCTAATCCAGGAAGTTACAGAACAGACTGGTAGAGAAGAGAAGAAACCCAAAGCCAGGCCATTCCCCCAAACCAATCAAGTCAACCACTACTACCACCTAGGTCTGTCTGGGTGTTTTCTTGATTTATGCTGCCCATACTTGGTTTTATTCTTTGAGATTATAGTGAAATGTCACAGAGTATCAACCTCTATACCCCAGTTCACTCAATTTTTCTCTATCTTTTCGGAGGATCCACCCCAGTGGTGGTGATGAGAAAACAAAAGTATATTAAGTTACTGTATATGTTAGCAGAATGAGCTTGACCTTGGATAAAAGCTCCAGGAAGGGAACTCAGAGGTGCTTGGCTACACCCAAAAGTCTCTACTTCCCACAGTATTCCTTTCACAATGCTAGATTCCCCTGGAAAAACCAGAGCTCCTTTAGATGCAAAGCCCTGCAACTGCCTGGCCTCATCCTCAAACAGGGATACTTGAACGTGCTCCTTCCCACAACTAAAGATGCCCACCATAAAGGCATTTTAGTTTTAGGATTTCAAAATATCCATACATCCACACTTAAGCTATGAAATAAGTTTCTAGGACCTTTTTTGAGTTCCATTGAGGCCTTCCCAAGTTACCATCCATGTTTATCACATATGCTGTCCTATTCACCACTAACCTTGACACAGAAGTCTGTGCCTCCAAAAACAAGCACACCCAAGGGTTCCGAAAGTAGGGTCTTTCACGAGGCTACATTAATAGATCTGGCTGCCAGCAAACAGGTGTTCCCTGCCTCTAGGTTTCTTTAGCAACAACTCCAGCTTTCTTAATAATGCCCCACCCACCATGCTAGCCCCCAAGAGTTGCCAAATTCTGTCCCATCTTGGCCCACTTATCCCCCTCCCCTGATCTTATTTCTCTTATGTGGATTTTCCTCCTCCCTAACCCACGCTCTCATCAGGGTACCCTAATTCTGTTGCAGAAAAGGCCTCCACTAGGACTCCTTTCTTAGGCCTGAAGGCCGATACTTTCCACAACCCAGGGGCACCGCGGACAGAGGTCCCCACTACCGCCAGCGCCCACCCAGGCTCACCGTGCGGATCTGCCTCCGCAAAAGGTAAATGAAGAAGCTCCACAGCTTGGCGGCGAAGGCCACGAACGTACGCAGCCCCAGCAGACACTGTGTCCGCATCATCCCGATGACCCCGGCACCGCCGGCCCCGGGGCCCCCGCGGCCCAGCTCCGCCAGCCCCCCGGGGGCAGCCCCCCGCCTCCGGGAGGGGGAACGGGGGCCCCGAGCGGCAGGAGAGTGTGCAGAGAAGGGCACGGAGCGGGCGGCTCAGAAAGCCACCCCTAGCGAGGGGAAAGCCCAGCGGAACCGGGAGCTGGGGGACAGGCGTGGGCAGCCGTCGGGGGCCGACATGGACGGGGAGTGGCACCGACGGTTTCGCGAAGGTTGCAGGCCAAGAAAGGTCGGGATAGGACGGGGTCCTTCGAGACTAGGAGGGAAGGGGATGGAGAATTGGGGGAGGGGGTAATGGGGGAGGGGGTAGGGAGACGGGAGGGGGAGGGGAAGGGGAAGCCGAGAGTGGCTCGCTGCGCAGGCGCGCTAGGGGGCTGCCCGCGGGAAAGGGGCGGGCGGGGGCAGCGGCGCGCGAAGGGCTGCGGCGGCAGAGAATAGGCTGGCTGAGTGAAGGAGTAGGGAAGGAGGGGGAGGGGGAGCCGAAGGGCGGGGAGCACTGGGACGGAGTGGCCTCCCCCTCCCCGAGGTCAGAGGTCCCTTAGCCGCTGGAGACTGGGGCAGCAGCCTCTGCCGCTGGATTTCCTACTCTGACAGACGCCATTTTACCACCCAGAGGCCTCCCTCCTCCTCTCTTCTCCCACCCCTTCCCCTCTGACACTACTTCCGCTGGTGACGTGTATACGCTTCTGCGGGACTAAGGTTCCCTCTGCTGGGTGTTACGGGGGTAGGGATAAGGAAAGCCTAGAGCACCCGAACAAGGCTGCAGTATTGCGCATCCGCGAAACGTAGTAGTGGGGCGGGGCCTGGAGAAAAGCCGGGAGAGGAGTGGGCGGGAAGCGTGACGTCAGTTGACCCAGGGTTCTGACTGCCACAGAGGTAGAGCTCGTGTAACGCCCCCTCGCTCCCAGACAACTGTCCCAACGGTTCTTGCAGCTCCTGTCACGCTGAAACGTGGACTGCTGTTGTTCCTACGTCTATTTTCTAAGAATCTTGGGGTGTTCTTCCGCATGACCCCCTCTGGAAATTCTGAACATAAAATCACCTTTCGTTCCAGACTTTGCCCACTCTTAAGGGTGGGAAGAATCCTGAAAGCCCCGCCCTGTTCAGTGGAGCGGGCGGGGGCGTGACGTCATCAGAGGGCGTCTGAGTGGGCTGGGACGGCAGTCAGAGATGCTGGAGTCACTGTCGGCTTTTGGCGGGTTGGTTCTACTTCGGGGTAAGGGTTTTAGACAGAGGGACCGACCATGGATTGAAGCCGGGACGGGTTCGTAAAGGCGGAAACCTGAGGGTTTTGATTTTCCCCAGATTCCATAGAATGGGAGGGTCGTGACTTCTTGAAGGCGCTTATCAAGAAATCTGCACTATGGTAAGTATCTGGCTGAGCCTTCCGTCCGTCTTGTCCTGAGAGGGGAGTCTGTGTCCTACGCTTCAACTTTTACACTTTGTCTCTGCCTAAGTGGAGAACAAATTCACGTCCTGGGCTGTGAAGTCAGCGAGGAAGAGTTTCGAGAAGGTTTTGACTCCAATATTAACAGCCGGTGAGTACAAATAGGATGATACTTCGATAGATGCAGGCTCTCTGCTGCTATTGGACTTCATTTACAGCAGCAAGTGCAGAATCTAGTATGTAGTAGCAGCCGTTTATTCAGTGAGTGAATAGATCTGGACTTACTTAAAAACATCTCTCAGTATGTAGTTCAGGCTAGCCTTGGACTCACTATAGCCCAGACTGGCCTTGAACTTGCAGCTGTCCTCCTGCTGGGGTTACAGGCATGCACTGTTCTGCTCAATCTATAGATGTGGATCTTTAAAAGGTGATGAAATTTAGTAAGAGAAATGATGGACAATGATGATAGTTTGGGCAATACAAAGTAGAGATCCTAAAATTTAAGAGTAATAGTAGTAAAAGGTAGACAGTGTAGTTTAGTATGAAAGTTCATACTAGGGGGTAAAAGTAAACATGCTCTGCCTTCTGCATTATTTACAATCTAGTGGTGCTTAAATCAGTCATGGATTCTAGTTTTGGCTCAACACTTCAAGTTACTGAGGGACTTGTGTTAGAGGAAGAAAAACAGCATGCGCAATATTAGGAGGGTAGGATAAATAATAGCTGCTAATGGGAGATGGAAAAGCTTCCTGAGGTACTCAAGGTCATGAAGGTAAAGAGGTACTTAGTTGTAAAAAGTCTTACAGAGTGTGAAATGGAATGGAGGTGTTATCCCAAAGGTAGTGAAGAATTATTTAAAATTTGAGATAACTGGTAACATCATTCGTGTTAGAAATACTGATCCAAGGGTTGACCAGATAGCTCAGCGGACTAAAGTGCCTACTTAGGCAGAATGCAGCAGCCCTGCCCCTAGGGTGCCTTGAGACTGGACATGGTGATGCGCACCTGTAATCCCAGTGCTTGGGAAGCTGAAAACAGGAGGATCATTGTAAGTCTGATCTATGTAGTAAGGCCCTGTAGACCTTGCAGACCCTGTACCAAATACAGGAAAAAAAAAAAAATACTGATCCATTTAGTGACCACCATATGGATGATGAACTGGAACGTGGCATCATAGAACCAGGAAGATCAAGTAGGAAGACTATTGGTTCATGAAGGAGATGCGTGCATATTGGGCACCGATTACAAATCAGATGTGCTGGGTCTTGATGAGACAGAGGTGTTCCCTTAATGAGTTTTATAGAATAATGATAGGAGGGGGCCTGGGAAGATAGCTCAGTAGAATAAGCACTTGCTTGGCAAGCACAGGGTTCTGAGTTCAATCCCCGGTACAGCAAAAAAATAATAACAACAATAGTAGTGATAGGGACAGAGCCATAATTTAAGGCAATGATAATACAGATGAATTTAGGACAAATGTTAAATTTTAGGTGTTCTTGGATAAGTAGTAATGTCAGACGTACAACTTAAGCTGATGGGCATTAAAGTCTGTGCTTTCAGACTTGTCTCAGGATTAGGTTTTGTGAATTTTTAGGGTACTAGGAAAAATTGAAAAAACAGCCACAACTATAAATCCTGAAGTGAGGAGAAAGTGTAATATGTCTTATTTTCTTTTTGCAGAGTGGTGTACTATGACCTCTTCAGAGACCCGCTCAATTGGTCAAAAAATGGAGAGGCTTTTCCTGGGGGACCCCTGGGAACCTTAAGAGCTATGTGCAGGACGACAGATCCCAGGCCTCTCACCATTGTTCTTGATTCACTCAGCTGGTTGTTGCTTCATTTTCCCTGTAACACAGTCTGCCAGACCCTCCATGCTCTGCACTATCGGGATTCCTTTTGTGGTGAGACCTTTGCTTTCCCTCATGTATTTCTTCCTGCTGAAGAAAGGCCCATTTTTCTTTTCTACCTTAAGCAGAAGCATCAGGAATCTCTCATAAGACATTTTTTATTGGTTTGTCTTTTTTTTTTTAATTATTTATTTTTATTTATTACATTTATTTATTGTGTGTGTGTGTGTGTGTGGCCAGCTCAGCCCACAAGGGGGCGGGGCTGGCTGGCATGTGGTGCTGGGGGATCGAACCGCGGTCCCTGTGCTTTGCCAAGCTTGTTTCAAGTAGGTGCTTTAAACCACTGAGCCATCTCTCCAGCCCTGGTTTGTCTTTTTGAGACAGGATTTCACTGTGCAGTTCAGGCTGGCCTTGAACTCACTTTGTAGCCCAGGCTGGGGGCCAACCAAATACCTCAGTGGATTAAAGTGCCTGCTTAGGCAGACACAGGGGCCAGGATCTCCCTAGGAACTGGGATCACGCCCCTCCCCCCAGCATGGTGGCGTGCACCTATAATCCCAGCACTTGGGAGGTTGTGAACAGGAGAATCACTACGAGTCCAATCTAGTAGTGAGACCCTGTGGTCCCTGTCTTAAAATACAAAAATAAAAAATAAAAAATAGCCCAGGCTGGCTTCGAACTCGTAGTGATCCTCCTGCTTCGGCCTCCCAAGTACTGGAATAACCAGTGTAGGCTACCACACCTGGCCACAACTGATCTTATTCCAACACTTCAACATTTGTTAATTATTTCCTGTACCCATAGAACAAGTATTAAATATATATAATCTGTCAGGTGTAATTCTAGATAACAGAAAAATAAATACTGACTTTGTGTCCTTGGTTTCCAAGAGTTCAGTGTCATAAAGGGCACAGACAAGTGAACAGTTAAAGATAGTCTGATAAGACCGGTGATGAGATAGGGACTTGTACAGAGTACCTTAGGAAAGAACCATCTTTTCTTTTTTTTTGGCGGAACCGGGGATTGAACTCAGGCCCTTGAGCTTGCCAGGGAAGCACTTATTCCACTGAGCCATCTCCCCAGCGCCAAGGAAAGAACCATCTTGAAGAGCAACATATCAGTCAGGTTCATCCAGAGAGGAGCAGTGGGATTAACCCTGACGTGCACTGTAAATTTTAGAGATAGATGTATCAGACTTTGTAGAAAAGCGCTTGATCTCAGGGTGCTTCAGTTTTCCCTGCAAAAAAGTGGTAAGGAATGAAAATACAGCATTGGACGCCAGGGATATATTGGCATAAGCACCTGCCTGGTAAGCACAAAGTCCCAAGTTCAATCGTATTCTTTTTTTTTTTTTTTTTTTTTTTTTTTTTTTGGTGGAACAGGGGATTGAACTCAGGCACTTGTGCTTGCCAGGGAAGCACTTACTCCACTGAGCGATCTTCCCTGCCCCTATATATATATAAATATACTTGGCAAGTTTCTAAAACTGCAAGTAGGGCAGGCCAGATAGCTCAGCAGACTAAAGCACCTGCTTAGGCAGACACAGGGGTCGGAGGTTCAATCCCTGGCCTGTTGCACTGAGGCAGTACTTGAGACTGGGCATGGTGGTGCCCGCCTGTAATCTCAGCGCTTGGGAAGCTGAAAACAGGAGAATCACTACAAGTCCAATATGTGTAGTGAGACCCTGTAGACCTTATAGATCCTGCACTAAATACAAAATAAATAAAGCTGCAAGTAAATGAGTATGGAAGATGAGACTAGAAAGTTAATGGGAGTTAAGTGGTGAAAGTAATTGTTTCAGCCTGAAGGCTGTGAGGAGATGCAGAAGGACTGAACTCAGAGTGGTGCCTTGATCAAATTTGCCTTAGAGTAAGGATGTGTATTAAGGCAGATGGGAAGGGCAGGGCCATGAAATTGGCCAAAGTTAGGATTGTGGCAGAGTTAGGATGAAATGCAGATCTCTCCACCCTTTTCATTGTTTGCTTCCAGGCCTCCACTCTAAAGGTTCCCTACTATCTTTTGTGCCCTTGGTTTTCTTTCTTGTCCCTCTCCAGGTGAAAGCTCTCCAGTAGAGCGGGTGAATGTACTGGGCCTGCTGCATGAAGAGCTCCATGGCCCAGGACCC